TCGTCTTCTGGTGGAACCGACCTTCGAATCTCTTCACCCAACACTTCTACTCGAAATGAAAGTAAGCTCATACTTCTAGGTCGTTATATAAATACTATGAATAGATTTACTTAGACACAGAAGGAATTAAATTTGAACTAGTAGAATGTAAAAGCGTGATTACCGAAAGAGTAATTAATAAAGGGACACTTAGCAAGGCATCTTCTAATAATTTGGATAAAAATATAATTCTTAACCATAAAATATTAATACAGGAGAGTATCTTATAGCTGAAATCCGTCATGTTACTAAGTGAGGTTACAAATTAGGTTAAAAAGTAAATGCAAGTTTCCAATACTTACGATTAGATTCTCGCTTGGTCTGATTCGACAACACATAATCCAAGAAGTCTCCTTTGCCAAATTAGTTAATCTTACACCATCCTGGCTGTAGACCATACAGCAGCGATTGGAACCAGATACAAGGAGCAAATCACTTCCTTCAGAGGGAATCCATGAGATGTCACAAGGATTGAAGCCAAGGCCCCGTTCCTTAGTAGGCTGTAATATAATTGAATAAAGTTAATAAGTTCACATACTTATATTTCGTCCAATCAAATGTCTAACCAACAGGAAAAAACAGTTGATGTTCACAATTTGAGCATAACATAATTTAGACCCTCTAAGAAACTTGAATGGATAAACAAACAATTTTTAACTTAACAATAGCAAATAATCACCTTTTAAAACACTAAGGACAGAAACAAAATGTGGTACCTTTTCAACGAGGAAGAATTCGGTGACGAATTCACCGGCTTCATAAACAAGCTGTTAGTAAATTCGATTTAAATGAAGGTCAAAATAGGAAAATAGTTTCCGTATATCTAAAATAATACAAACCTGTTTTCCCGAAAGATTAAATAGACACAGTTTTTGGTTCCAATCGATTGCTGCAAGAACATTGGCAGAGGAGTTTCTAAGAAGGATAGGGATAATGCGTAAACAACGGTAGTGGAGATACAAAATTAGAATAATTTTATTATTTATAGCTGTTTATAAAAAAGAGAATGAATGTCATAAAATTCATTAACTAATTAGACAAAAGCTTTGGCACAATTTTTTTTAAAAAAGACAGCAAAGTATAATTAAGATTATGTACAGCAATTTATTTATATTTATATACCTTAACTCACTCCATATTAGCGTAAAAGTTTTCCAAGGAAATGTTATATATATATATATATATATGTTAACTATTGTTAGGATAATCGAATAACAGACTTTAGGATTATTTTAGTTTAAGCTAGTATAATAATGTGAAATAAGATAATCTACCTAATGCACCTTTCACAAGAAAAGTTTCACTAATTAAAGCTGATCTTACCTTTTAGTTTTTACTTCTCCTTAACTTCCCTTTTGAATCAAATTCGCATTCATTAAACATGCAGTTACAGTCCAAAAATCTATACGGCAACCTTAATACCTAAATCTAGTTGATCTTAAAATAAAAAACACTATTTGTAAAGCTAGTATCTATAGCATTTTGAATCATATATTGAGAGCATAATAAAAAAATCCATATAAAATTTAACCACTTATTTATAAATAATTTAAAAATATATAGTAGTTAGTAAATGCATGTTAGGGTACCTTAGGTTGTTCCATTTTACACGCCAAATAATCGAAGATCCAGGCCTTTCTAATCTTGAAACTTCTTCTGCGGCCTTTGACAAAAAAGATTATAGAAAATCATACTTGATTCCTGATAGAAATCGATCCGTCTTGCATCCCTATTGCAAGATATTGTCCGTCTGAATTCCAGTCACAGCACATCGCTCGTGATGGTAGCTTTGTCTTCGTCACCACCGGTTTATCCAGAGACCATATAGCAAAGTCAGTAACAGCAAAACTCACAAGCATAACAAGCTGTGGATTGTATTTAAGTGCTTGAACTGCATCATTATGTCTGTTTGGGCCTAGAGACGGATCAATAACACATACTGGTATTTAAGCAACGGCATCATATTAGATGATTTCCATATTATTACATTTTTGTCTGCTGATCCACTAGAAAACCGTTTCCCATCATGAGAAAAGTCAAGACAGTATACTAATTCGGTATGTCCCTTCAGAGTTTTTTGCAGAGTGCCTTCCGATGCGTACACATAGACAAATATTCCTGCTGCAACAATAATTCGGAGGCCATCTGGACTATAACATAGATCCCAAACACTGATTGAAAAATTTAAAAATGAATGATATTACGCATATTGAATGTCATCATTTCCTACAATTTTCGTTGTCCATTGACTTATGCCTTTCATATCAACTATGATCACCAATACCAACCTCAATCAAAATCTCGCACTTAACGTCGGCGTTAATGTAAATGTATTAAACGATAACTAATTTGATAAATCTATTATTAATAGTTAAAGTATTAAATTAATATTATTTAAATAACTGATTTAGGATTTTATGCGATTCTTAGGTAATATTAGTTTAAATGTACAGAATTCATTTAATAATCTTTGATTGTAAGATAAATAAATTATAAACTCACACTCTTAAAGGCAAATATTTTAAGGCTAAATTAATTATATCATTTTAATTACCCAACACAAAAGAGTATTGTCATAGCAAATATACGTTTGCTTCATCGACAATCCCACCAAGGAATATGATATGGTAAAAGGCCTGGACTTTCTTGAAATTCACTTCTGCCCTGTGACCCAAGGGCACTCGTGGCAATGCGTTCGAGTGGTTAGCGTTTCAAACTCCCATTCTGCACTGTTACGGTTCGACTCCCGCTGGGGGTGTTGATATGACCGATTCGAGGTCGAAACTGCAGTTCGCCCTGGATAAGAAAACTTTTGGGAGAGCAAAGCTATGTGAAATTCAATGAAAACATCAGCTCTACTCATATCATTATGCTAAAATTCTACAACAAGTCCTTCATCACCCTAAATGAAATAGGGTAAATAAATCTCATCTTACTGATTTACTGGTAGTCTCGAAACCCTACTCAAATACAAATAGGTATCATTTTTACATGAATATTTGTTGTCCTATTAAGTAAATTTATGAGGAAGCTTATAGTTCGTATTAAAGTTCATGATTAAACGATTCGAAGGCCGATTTCATTAGCAAACGACGTCTGATTCCCATCTTACTGCAGGAGGTTAGCTTTATTATTATCTTTAGATTGACTCAGTCCACGAGGAATCCTTTCTCATTTCGGGTAAAAACAAGTTAACTCTTCGTTCAATATATGATAGGCATCACCTGAGTTTAAACTAATTCCTGTAAAAGTCTAAAGTTAACATTAAGTAAAGACCTTTATCTAATAAAAACGGTTACAGTACACCAAAGAATCATCTGTGATCTTTTGGTAAGATTGACCTACCTCTTCATCATGCACTTTCATATGAAATATAGTCTCTCCAACAATGTTCTAATACGAGATGCATCAAGGCACAGTCACTCTTTATAGCTAGTAATTTAATAATAATGTATAGGTAACTAAATAAATCTAAAGAAATTTTACATGAGTATGAACCCAAGAATTTTGAGTAGCAAGAAAAAGAAGCATTATTGTTTTAACTTTTGGTATTTGAGATATCTTATGCTCTTAATTGATTTAAACCACGAGATGATTCGCGTATTCAGCTTATATCGGAGTATATTTTAAAATTAAAAATATAAATTATGCCCTTTTATCCAAAACGGCGTGTCTGAGCCTCCAACTCAATATTCATAAAATTCCTTCGCAGGTTTTCACACCTAGGCTTTAAAAAAATAGACTAATATACAGCAAACTTTCTCATATGTGTGGCCAATTTATTTTAAATTATTGCACTGCAAAG